TGTGTGTGTGTGTGTGTGTGTGTGTAATGAGGCCAGTTCATGTCATTCAGACTAAGATCCCCATTCTTGATTTTTTGGTTTGGTTTTGATTTGGAGACCACACCCAGTGGTGCTCAGGGCTTACTCCTGGAAGTGTTCAGGGGACCATATTCAGCACAGGGAATCAAATCTGGGCCCACCACATTAAACATAAGCACCCTACCCATTGTACTATCTCTTTGACCTCTAAAGTTCTCACTTTTTAAGCAGACCCCTGGGGTGTAAAATGGTGGAATAAAGAATACTGACTCTCGGGGCTGGAGCAATAGCACAGCCGGTAGGGCGTTTGTTTGCCTTGCATGTGGCTGAGCCGGGTTCGATTCCCAGCATCCCATGTGGTCCCCCAAGCACTGCCAGGAGTGATTCCTGAGTGCAGAGCCAGGAGTAACCCCTGTGCATCACCGGGTGTGACCCAACAAGCCAAAAAAAAAAAAAAAAGAAGAAGAAGAAGAGAAAATGTGAGTGCTAGGGCCACATAGACAGTAGAGGGCTTAAAATATTTGCCTTGCATGCAACCAACCCTACCTGATTTTGATCCCCTGAACCACATGTGTTTGTCAAGCACCATCAGGGTTCACATCCGGGCACAGAGTCAGAAATAGACCCTGAGCACTGCCAGATATGACCCCCAAAACAAGCAAAAAAAGAAGAAAAGAGTTTTGAGTTTTAACATAGTTCTGCCACCAATTCACTTATTAGAAATGCAGACCTTGGAAACCATCTTTTTTTGTTTTATTTTTGCTTTTTGGGTCACACCCGGCGATGCACAGAAGTTACTCCTGGCTCTGCACTCAGGAATAACCCCTGGCGGTGCTCAGGGGACCATATGGGATGCTGGGAATCGAACCCGGGTTGGCCGTGTGCAAGGCAAACGCCCTACCCGCTGTGCTTTCGCTCCAGCCCCTGGAAACCATCTTAATTTACTTTTCCTCTACGAATTGGATGAGAAGGAAGACGCAAAGGAAAAGATTCTCTCCCGGGGATCTGTGTGGGTGGTGGTGGGATCTGATGAGCACTCGCCGGTGCCCCTTAGACCCGTTTCAAGAACAGCAAGCCCTTCTGCAGCAGAGGCCCAGTGCTTTGAGGGGTGTGCCCGGGAGGGGAGCAGAAGTATGTACAGCAGATGAGATAGAAGTCAGAGCACTAGGGCTGGAGCAATAGCACAGCAGGTAGGGCGTTTGCCTTGCATGCGGCCGACCCGGGTTCGATTCCCAGCATCCCATCTGGTCCCCTGAGCACTGCCAGGAGTAATTCCTGAGTGTAAAGCCAGGAGTAGCCCCTGTGCATTGCCGGGTGTGACCCAAGAAAATAACCCAGCATCCTGAGAGGCAGAAACTTGGCAGAAGAAAAACCCAAAGCAGATACCTGGAAGCACAGTTCCCTGTCCTGGGCTCGGGGTAGCTGGCAGCCCTTCCACCAACCACAAGCTCTGCTGTCCTTCCTTTTCCGAGCCTAGCTCAGAGGCAGACACTCCAGCCTGCAGGCCTCTTGATACTATTTTGTTTTTGTTTATTCCTAAAACTTTCTCAAGGGGCCGGAAAGATAGTACAGCTGGTAGGGTGCTTTCTTTGCATGAGGCTAACTGGGTTCAATCTCTGGCCTCCCATATGGTCCTCTATGCACTGCCAGGAGTGATTCCTAAGTACCGAGTCAGAAGTAATCCTTGAGCATCGCCACTGTGACCCCAAAACAAAAATAAAGAAGCAGGGCTGGCGCAATAGCACACCGGGTAGGGTGTTTGCCTTGCATGCGGCCGACCCTGGTTCGATTCCCAGCATCCCATATGGTCCCCTGAGCACCGCCAGGGGTAATTCCTGAGTGCAGAGCCAGGAGTGACCCCTGTGCATCGCCAGGTGTGACCCAAAAAGCCAAAAAATAAAAATAAAATAAACAATACAAACAAAAACAAACAAAAGATCAACACCACCTTCTTCTGCTCCTTCTTTTGTTTTCTGATACTATGCTTGTGCCTTTTCAACATTTTCACAGCAGTTTTTGGTAAGATAAGAATGCCTCATCCTGGGGCTAGAGCCATAGTACAGCAGATAGGATGTTTGCCTTGCATGCAGCTGACCCAGGTTCAATCCCTGGCTTCCCATATAGTTTCCCAAACACTTCCAGAAGTAATTCCTGGGGGTCAGAGCAATAGCACAGCAGGTAGGGCGTTTGCCCTGCACGCAGCTGACCTGAATTCAACCCCCGGCGTCCCATATGGTCCCCCAAGCACCGCCAGTAGTAATTCCTGAGTGCAAAGCCAGGAGTAACCCCTGAGCATTGCTGGGTGTGCCCAAAAGGAAGTAAAGTAAAGTAAAGTAAAGTAAAGGCCCTCCCGTTGATCATCGATTTGCTCGAGCGGGCCCAGTAACATCTCCATTGGAGACTTTGTTGTTACTGTGTCTGGCATCTCGAATACGTCACGGGGAGCTTGCCAGGCTCTGCTGTGCGGGCAAGATACTCTCGGTAGCTTGCCGGGCTCTCCGAGAGGGGCAGAGGAATCGAACTCGGGTCGGCCATGTTGGCTGCGTGCAAGGCAAACGCCTTACCCGCTGTGCTATCGCTCCAGCCCAAAAGGAAAAAAAGAAGTAATTCCTGAGTGCAGAGCCAGGAGTAACGCTGAGCATCGCCAGGTGTGACCCAAAAAGGAAAAAAAAAAAAAAAGGAATGCCTGATCTTGTCATGGATGCACTTAACATCAGGAATGACCAGAGGCCTGCTGACAAGTGTTTCAGTTTAGAAAACCTGGTAGAGCTCTGGGGTTGCTCAGAAATTACCCTGGTGGTGCTTGGGGACCCTTTGCAAGGCAAGCATGCAGGCCAAGTGCCTGACATGCTGTACTATATCTCCAGCCCTTTTCCTTTTTCCTTTTTTGGCTTTTGAGCCACACCCAGCAGTGCTCAGAGTGTTTTCCTGACTCCACCCAGGAATCACTCCTGGCAGTGCTCAGGGATCCTAGTGTGGTCAAACCCCACTGCCCATTGCTCCAGCCCTGGACACTCTTCTTTTCTTTTTGAGTCACACCCAGCAATACTCAGGGCTTACTTCTGGCTCTGCACTCAGAAATTACTCCTGGCGTGGCTAGAGCAATAGCACAGCGGGTAGGGCGTTTGCCTTGCACGCGGCCGACCCGGGTTCAGTTCCCAGTATCCCATATGGTCCCCTGAGCACCGCCAGGGGTAATTCCTGAGTGCAGAGCCAGGAGTGACCCCTGTGCATTGCTGGGTGTGACCCAAAAAAAGAAAAAAAAAAGAAATTACTCCTGGTGGTGCTTGGGGGATCATATGGGATGGCGGGGATTGAACCCGCATGCAAGAGAGCTGCCTTCCCTACTGTATTGCTCTGGCCCTTAGGCAGACTCTTAGGAACCTCAGATTCCTGGGCACAAACTCCTCCAGGTTGTCCTTGGCACACACTACATGAAAATATTGGTGCCTTCCCAACCTTTTTGTTATAGAAGGAAACAACTAGGGGGTTTGGACAGCTCCGTTTTTGGTTTGTTTTGCTTTTTTGGTCACACCTGGCGATGCTCAGGAATCACTTCCAGCTCCGCACTGAGAAATCATTCCTGACAGTGCATGGGGGACCATATGGGATGCTAGGGATCGAACCCAGGTCAGCCTCATGCAGAGTGAGCACCCTCCCCGCTGTACTGTTTTTCCACGAGGACAGCCCAATTTTGTTAGAAACTGTACCGTAGGAGAGTCTCGGAAGGAGTCAAACACTGGGCCGTTCTAAAAGGCCCACGGATACTGTCCCAAAAGAGAAGTTTGTACCACTTCGGTTGTAGACTCATCTCCCTTACCCAGTGACATACACTGGTTGACACATGTCACAGCATGACACAGCATAGAATGTCACAAGGTACACAGGGCAAGAGTGACACATATGTGCATATTTAATCTCTTGCACAGTCATCCATCCACCTCCACATACAGACCCAGACACTCTGGCCCTCAGTCAACCTCCTGGGTCTCTTCTGATCAGCAGCTGTCACCTCCGTCCAGACACGTAGGGGATGATGCACTGTCCCAGGTGGTGGCTGCGACAAGATGACTCCTCATCCCTTCTGACCAGTTGAATTCCAAGCCTCTTGGAAAAGTTCCTACCATCCCTCCTCAGAAATACCCTTAGAGCAAACACACTCCCCCACATCCTCACACTTGCATTGTCCCACGTTCCACCCCCTACAAACACACGGAACCACTTCTGTGCCCTCCCGGCCCCCAGGCACAACCGCTGCCTCAGTTTCCCTCCGGGCTCTGTTTGGTCAGTTCGCCCCTGGCCCCTGTGCCTTCTGGACGCAGCTTTGATCAGGGGCTTCTGGGGCGGGAAATCGGCCCAGAAGCACAGTCTTCCTTCTTCTACTCAGAATCGGCAGGAGAGGGACCGCCGACCACCGGTCCGGGGGACGTCGAGGGGACAAACCCACGCTAGGCAGCAAAGCGGCTGGGCGCGCGACGGAATCGGCCCGGTGCGTTGTCGCCGCGCCCCCTGGCGGACGCCGGTCCCCGACGGGCTGCGGACGGGAAGAGGCGCGCGGCGGGCGCGCGTGGGAGGGCGTCCCGAGGGGAGGGGTCGGCGGCCGGTGCAGGTCCGGAGGCGGGAGCCACCGGGCAGGGGGCGGGGGTGAACCCCGACGGCCAGCCCGTCAGCTCTCCGCTCAGACGGGCGGGAGCCGCGGCCCCGCTCGCTGCCCATTGTCTGCGCCCCTGACCGGTGCGCCCTGGTGCCCCAGCGTCCCCTCGTCACTCCAGCCAGCGCCGACGCTCTAAGAGGCGGTGCTGGCCGCCGTGGCTGCCTCAGCCCACCAGCTAGGATCATGCTGCCCGCCGCCCGCCCCCAGCGCTCTTAGAACTGGCCTGCGACCTCTCGCCACTGCCGCTACCGCCGCGTCGCGTCCCACCGTCGCGGGTCGCCGCCCAAACCGCCCAACTGCAGCAGAGCGGGCCCGGGCCAGGCAGGCCATGGGGCGCTGGGCGCTGCTGCCCCGCTGGCTTTCTGCTGCGCTGGTGCTGGTGCTGGCCGCTCTGCCCACAGCCCTGGCCGCCAACAGCAGTGGCCGATGGTGGTAAGTGAGCGAGAGTCGGGGGTCGCGCTCCTCCGAGCGCGCAGAGCCTGTCCCGTCCAGCCCTCGTGCTCCGGGGCTGCTCAGACAGGCTCGCTGCAGTGTCCGACTTTCCTCCTGGGCTCCACGGGTCGCTCTGGAAGCAGGGCTGTTCCTCAGACTCCGGCTTAGCTGAAGTGGGATGCCTGGTCTGCCCGCGGGCTCCTCCGTCACTCCCACCGCCCCTTCCTTGAACCCAGAGCCTGGCCAGAGCAGCAGCCAGCCGCAAGGTTGCCTGTCGGGGGAAGTGAAGGGCCTGGCTGTGCTGGGAAAGGAGGCAAGAAGAGGGTGGAACGGTTAAGATTTCACGCCTGGGGTGGGCAAGGACTGCAGGCCAGGATTTTCTCTCCAGGGCTGCCGGGAAGCAGGCGCTGGGAACCAAGGTAGACTCTCCTTTCCGCCTCCACCCTCTCCCATCCAGCACCTCAGTGCAGCACCTCAGACGCTCTCAGACCTCAGACAAAAGTCTAGATGGCCCCAACATACCAGTGAGCGAGCTAGGGAGCTGCGGGCCTCTATCTCCGGTTGCTCCCTAGCATAGAGTGCCCCAGAAGAGGCGCATGGTGGGCACAGACCCTTTGGATGAGGGTGCAGAACCCCTCCGAGCCTGAGCCCTGCCCTGCCTCTCCCCAGGGGCATTGTCAACGTTGCCTCTTCCACGAACCTGCTCACTGACTCCAAGAGCCTGCAGCTGGTGCTGGAGCCGAGTCTGCAGCTGCTGAGCCGCAAACAGCGGCGGCTGATCCGCCAGAACCCCGGGATCCTGCACAGCGTCAGCGGAGGGCTGCAGAGCGCCGTGCGGGAGTGTAAGTGGCAGTTCCGGAACCGCCGCTGGAACTGTCCCACGGTGGCCGGGCCCCACCTCTTCGGCAAAATCGTCAACCGAGGTGGGTACCAGTAGGACGATGCTTCCGGGACGACTGGGGGAACTCAGGGCCACCCCCCGGGCAGGGCAGGGGCTGGGGAGTGCAGGCAGTGGTGTCCCAGGCGCTTTCCGTCCTGGTTGGATCGGTGGCTTCCAAGGTGGCCCCTCCAGCCAAAGTTGGACTTTGCTGAGCGCTGTCCCAGAGAAAAGCAGCTCTGAACCGCAGTGTGGGCTGGCTGCCCTGTCTCTCAGAGGCGCTGGGGAATCATTGTGCTGGGGGGGAGGGGATGGGAGCTTACCTCAGTCCAGCAAAGCTGACGTGAACTGAAAGTTTGGGCTTCGGGGATTGAAGAGGCAGTCCAGCAGGGACGGTGTTTGCCTTGCGCGCTGCCAACCTGGGTTGGCTCCTCGCACCCTGTATGGCCCCCTGAGTACCATCGGGAGTAATTCCTGAGTGCAGAGCCAGTAGTAACCACTGAGCACTGCGAGGTGTGGCCCCAACATCACCCCTTCCCCCCCAAAAAAAAGTTTGGGTTGCGTATAGGACTTGGCAGCGTTCCTCTGCTCCCTTTGAACTTTTGTCTTGAGCTGCCCCAGCTCCACTATGGAGCCAGGATGCCCTGAGTCTCAGGCATTGGCTGTCATGCCCCAGTTTTCGGGGAGCCCCAGACCCCTGCCCACTCAGTCAGCCCCTGACCCAGACTCGGCTGCCTGAGGATGTGAAAGTCAGGGGTCCCTCCACTGAGGGTGCGGGCACCCTGCCCTCCTGCCACTCCCTCTAGGTGACGCCCCTTCTTTCTCCACAGGCTGCCGGGAGACAGCCTTCATCTTTGCCATCACCTCGGCGGGGGTGACCCATTCGGTGGCTCGCTCGTGCTCCGAGGGCTCCATTGAATCCTGCACGTGCGACTACAGGCGGCGTGGACCTGGCGGCCCCGACTGGCACTGGGGTGGCTGCAGCGACAACATCGACTTCGGCCGCCTCTTTGGCCGCGAGTTTGTGGACTCCGGGGAGAAGGGACGGGACCTGCGCTTCCTCATGAACCTGCACAACAACGAGGCCGGTCGCACGGTGAGTGGGTGTCTGGGGCTGCAGCACCAGCCCAAGGCGGGTAGGAGGTCGTCTCCGTGGGCGCGTGGGGAGGAGGGATAGCCTCGGGAAATGACGGTGGGGGTGATAAAGTCTTCCTGGTGGGAAAACAGGAGAAGACACCCAGGGGTGGAGGTGTGATTGTGGAAGGCAGGAAATGGAAGACAGAGGCCAGGGCAAGGTGTGCCCAGACTGAAAGCAGGTGGAACCAGAGGTTAAAGCCACGCAACCCTGGGCTGGCGAGATAACTCAAAAGCTGAATTTTATTTCTATTTTTTCTCATGCCCGGATATACTCAGGGCTAACTCCTGACTCAGTGTTCAGGGATCTCTCCTGGCCAGTTGCCAGGCGGTGGGGGGTGCTGGTGGGGAGTGGGGGGGGGAGGGGTGTCTGGGGGCAAACGAGGTGGGATCCAATCCGGGTTGGCTGCATGCAAAGCAATGCAAGTACTATTGCCCGCTGTACTATTGACCCTGGAGCACAAGCTTTGCTTGCATTTTCTGATTCCATTCTCCACACCACAAGGTCCCCAGTACCTTCGGGGAGCGACTCCAACGCATCAGACTAGGAGAAGGAAAACAAGTGTGCAATTCCTCAAAAGTATTACCCACAGCCCCTCTATTGCCTAAAGTTTAGAATAAGATGGAGAGTGGGGCCTGGAGGATAGCACAACGGGGAGGGCGTTTACCTTGCTCGGGGCCGACCTGGGTTCGATCCCCAGCGTCCCATCTGGTCCCCCAAGCACCGCCAGGAGTAATTCCTGAGTGCAGAGCCAGGAATAACCCCTGAGCATCGCTGGGTGTGGGTGTGATCCAAAAAGTTAAAAAAAAAAAAAGGAACAGAATAAGATGGAGAGACCGAGACAGTCTCTGGCGGTGTGATCGGAGCTCCCGATCCCTGCAGGAGGGTGCTTCTCCTCCCTCGGGCTCCGCTGGGTGGGGTCTTTGCCGAGTTCCCGGCCGGCGGGCGTCCCGGGTCTGGGCGAGCCCTGAGCCACCCTTTCTTCCTCCCGTCACCCCGGCCCCTCCCCGCAGACCGTGTTCTCCGAGATGCGCCAGGAGTGCAAATGCCACGGGATGTCCGGCTCCTGTACGGTGCGGACGTGCTGGATGCGACTGCCCACGCTGCGAGCCGTGGGCGACGTGCTGCGCGACCGCTTCGACGGCGCCTCGCGCGTCCTCTACGGCAACCGCGGCAGCAACCGCGCCTCGAGGGCCGAGCTGCTGCGCCTCGAGCCGGAGGACCCGGCCCACAAGCCGCCCTCCCCCCACGACCTCGTCTACTTCGAAAAATCGCCCAATTTCTGCACCTACAGCGGACGCCTGGGTACCGCGGGCACGGCGGGGCGCGCCTGCAACAGCTCGTCGCCCGCGCTGGACGGCTGCGAGCTGCTCTGCTGTGGCCGGGGCCACCGCACGCGCACGCAGCGCGTCACCGAGCGCTGCAACTGCACCTTCCACTGGTGCTGCCACGTCAGCTGCCGCAACTGCACGCACACGCGCGTGCTGCACGAGTGTCTGTGAGGCGGACGCCGTGTCGCTCCCGGGAGAGTCGCTGGCACCGAGAACACCGGGAGCACCGTCCGCGCCCACCCACCAGCTCGCTCGCTACTCGTCAGACGTAGTCGACCGGCTTCCCCCACCTCCTCCTCCCTGGGGGCTCCTCAAACCACTTTCCCCGGGCGGGCGGCAGAGCCCTCTCTCCCTCTGCGGGGAGCAGCCCGGACCTACCTCCCTCCCTCTCCGGGGGAGACCCCCGTTGCACTGCCCCGCCCTCAGCGGGTGCCCAGGGGACTGAAGGACTCGTCCCAGGGGTCACTCCCTGCTCTGCGTCCGCAGGGGCGTCAAGGCCTTTCTCCTCCGGGCTTACAGTTCAAGTGGGAGGTTGGCGGTGAAAGGGCAGCTGTGGTGATGTGGAAACCGAGGACGTGGGAGGGGGGCCCAGCAGAAATCCCCCGATTCCCCCATTGAACAGCTGTGAACCCATGTCGCCTTCAGCCACCTCCTACCCCTTCCTGTCCTGCCTCTTCATCAGTGTGTAAATAATTTGCACTGAAACGTGGATACAAAGCCACGCATTTGGTTGTTGTAAATAGAACTATTTATTGTGCTGGGTTCCAGCCTGGTTCGCAGAGACCATTTCCACACCCAATGCAGTTCCTCTCCATTCTTCGGCCCCTGTTGGCCTCTAGACTTTTCTGATACCCCGTCCTCCTCTTCCCTGCCCCCCACCAATTTCTCAAAGGTGCTTCTGCATACCGGAATTGGCATTTCCCACTTAGTGGCTATTAGTGACTCCTCACCCAACAATGTAGTATCTTCCTCTGCAGAATAAAGTCTCTATTTTTATCAATGACTGAGTGGCTTGAATTCAGAACAAAGCCTTGTTGCTTCTCTCTCTCTCTCTCTCTCTCTCTCTCTCTCTCTCATTGTTTCTTTTGCTTAGTTCCCTTTAGCAAAATGTTGGGGGTTGGTTTCCTGGTCCTGCAAGGAGGACCCTAAGAATCCTACCCTTAATTGAGCAGAACACACAGGTGATCCGGTCTCCAAAACCACTTGGTCAGGAGCCAGAAGCCAAAAGCTGGTTGTGTATTCTTGGGCAAGTGCCTAGCTGGTGTGGTTTCTTCCCTTGTGGAATGGGATGAACAAAGTCTGAGTCTACCTCTCCTATCTAGAAGTGGTTGTGAAAATAGCTACATTCCACTGAGTGACAGCCATGTCCCCATTCTGAATGGAGATCAAAGAAGAAAGAGAAACCCCAGCAGCCCCATCCCTCACCACACCCCCCACCTGCAGCTGTTGGTCCCTGAATCCCGTCTGCTTCCAGCTGTAATTAGGGCCTGGGCCCTGGGTAAGACACTACCTTTTCCCCACAAGGCAGAGCTACTCCGTACCCAGCTCTGCATTTTGGACTGAGAAAACAGGTGGTGAATTCCAGTCCTGGATCTAAAATCTCAGGGATAATGGTGGCGGTGAGAAAGGAGTAAGAAGGACTAGAATTCGTGGGAGCTGATCCTTCAGTGCAGAGCCAGGAATAAACCCTGAGCATGGCCAGGTGTCGCCCCAAAACAAAAGCAGGGCTAGAATTCAGATACAGGTTCAGCACACCCAGATGTAAATGAAAGCAAACTTAAGGTGACACATAACCAAACCTTCAAGTAACCATTCTCGTCAAGGAGGATTCTGCATCTAAAGGAAGATTCTGCTTCTCACCACAGGACCTTGCTGAGTGCTCATCCTGCCCACAGCCTTAATCTGCCTCTAACTCTAATCCCCTCCCTGCCCCAGGTCTAACCTCAGCCTTAACCCTAACTTCAGACAACACTAACACCCCCCACCTCTCCTAAAGTCTAATGCCTTTCCCTAATCCTAACTCCTCCCCCCAGGGGATGCTACAAAGCATCCCACTCCACCCCAAGGACAAGAACTGATGCCCAGACGGAAAGTTTCACCCTCCCCAGGACTCCTTTGTTGTGTGGCTGACCCCCTCCAACTTTCCCTGGAGGTGTGAGCCCCAGTTGGCCATTGAGATCTGTGTGGGGGTAGGGAGTGAGCCCAGAGCTTCTCAGCCCTGTGGCAATGCCCCCTTTCCTTTCTCCCTGCCCTCCAGCTCAATTTCCAGGGACAGGATGGAAGAGGGAAAAGCCCAGAAGTCTGGGGAGGAGGCATCTGACAGGCCTTGGTTTCCAGGCAAGAGCCCCCTGCAGAGAAGTCCCAGTCTATCATCCTTGAGCCTTCAGGTTCCCCAGTAGGAAGTTAGTGGGCTCACAGGGGCAGGAAGACAGCATGGGCCCCGGGTGAACAGTGCTTAGAATCTCAGAAGCAGTAGGATGGGGAGAGGGAAGTTTGCCAGCTGACCCTGACCACTCTCACAGGACTCCCGACTCCAGAAGCGGGACTCAGGTTCGCTCTTAGGCCTGGAAGCTGATGGGGGCAGCTGAACTAGATGAACCTGTCTCTTGCTCTTAGCCTCAGGTGCTCTGTCTATTAAACACAAAGCTTGGCAACATGATCTTCTCCTTCAGGAAGGTGAGAAGGTCCTGATGCCCTATGTATGCGACAAAGTGCTCAGGTTTTGGTGTTTGGTTTATTTGGTTTGGGTTTGTGGCCATTCCCAGTAATGCTCGAGGGCTTCCTCCTGGTTTGCCCTCAGGGATCACACCTTAAGATGCTTGTGGAACCCTGTGGAGTGCTGGGGACTGAACCAAGGCCAGGCACAGGCTGGCATGCACCTTCTCACTGGTCTCTCTGGTCCCAAGAATGTGGGTTGTTTTGTTGTGAAAGGACTTGAACCCTGGGCCTTACACATGCAAAGGCCTACCCCAAGCTCAAGACATTTTTTTTTAATTAATTTAATTTTTTCTTTTTTGGGTCACACCTGGCGATGCTCAGGAGTTACTCCTTGCTCTGCATTCAGAAATTACTATTGGCTGTGCTTGGGGGACCATATGGAATGCCAGGATCAACCCTGGGTCAGCCTCATGCAAGGAAAATGCCCTACCCACTGTACTATCACTCCAGCCCAAACTCAAGTCATTTGAATGCTTGAATAATAAGCATTATTATATAATAAGAATAAGAATAAAAATACCCCTTCTATGTCTCGCACCAAATTCTGGGGACTTGGTGACATCTGAAACATGGAGTCTGCTGGGAGGAGATTATGGTCTGGCCAGGGAATCAAATCACATAGATGTGGCCAGCAATGGGGACAGATATGTTCAGCAGTGGGTCCTATGCAGTGTCAGTTCAGGGAAGTGGACACCTTCTGCACAGGTCCCGGACTGAAGGACAGATGTCCGTCTTTGTGTCTTCTCTACAGAGGCCCCTCACTTCCATGGTTTGTTTTTGTCTTTCAGTTCTGGAGATTAAATCCAGGGCTTCACACATGCAAGACAGGTACTCTACCACTGAGTGACACCCCGGACCCCACTTCTTGGGTTTGGGACTTGTAAAGGAATGTCCAAAAGTACAGAATGTGTCTGGGCCCTGAACAAGACATGCACTAATCGCCACACCAGGAAGAAAGCAGTAAAAAAGTAAAAGTAAAGGCCCTCCCGTTGATCATCGATTTGCTCAAGCAGGCCCAGTAACGTCTCCATTGCAGACTTTGTTGTTACTGCCAGGCCCTGCAGTGCGGGCGAGATACTCTCGGTAGCTTGCTGGGCTCTCCAAGAGGGGCGGAGGAATCGAACTCGGGTCGGCCATGTTGGCTGTGTGCAAGGCAAACGCCCTACCGCTGTGCTATCGCTCCAGCCCAAAGATCTGCAAAGTGGAGCCACAGCGATAGTACAACAGGTAGGCTATTTGCCTTGGGTGCAGTTGACTGGGGTTCGATTCCAGGGAACCACACATGATCTCCTAAGCCCAGCTAGGAGTGATCTCTGAGTGCAGAGCCAGGAGTCAGCAGGGCATGGGAAAAAAATCTGCAAAGCACTACATGGGAATGAATTCTTTTGTTACTCTGATTATCCATGGCACCCTCACAGGGACAGAGGGGGTACACCCTGGGGAGCAGAGCAGTTTTCCCAGCGAGCAGGCTCTGAGCCTTGGAGCCTGCCTGGCTCTCTCCACCCAAAGCTGTCCTCCCGCCCACCTGGAATTTTCAGGTGCTAGGTGCCTCATAGCCAGGGGGCTCTGAGGCTGGCAGAGACCCCAGACACATGGTTGGCCTCAGTCCTTGAGGGAGTCACTCTTCCTAAAATATCCTGGGGCAACGGAAAAGCTGAGAGGCTGAGCTGCAGACCTGCACATCTCTGGGGGTCGGTGAGCCTGCCCCACACACAGGCTGCCCGGGCACCCTGGAAAAACCCTGTCAGTGGGGCTGCAAATACCCCAGGGTCTAGGTGCCCCCCGCCCCCTCCCCCCCAGGGTGGCTCCGTCCTTCTCTCCAGGTTAGAGGGAGAAAAATAACAAAACGAGGAGAAAATAAGCTGTTTGGCTGTGGCATGAGCAGGAATATCCATACAGAGCTGCCCACCACTCACCCTTACTCACTCTTTCCACACCCAGCGGGGCGCCCAGCATGAGACAGACCACCCCCCTGCCCCCTCCCCCGTCTGGGCTAAAAGCAGCCGCTGGTGAGCTAGCAGCAGGTTATAAATACGCCCGGGAACTGCGGCCAACTCGCTCCTGTCATGCCCTGGGAGGGCAGAGCCGTGCGGTGGCTCCCGGGGAGGAGCTAGGGCTGCCCTGTTCCCTGGGGCCCGGGAGGAAGTGGGGCTTCCAAAAGGCGATTGCATTTTTTTGTTTCCTCGCCTTTTTCAAAAGGAAGGAACCGAGGTCACTTCATTTCTCTGCCCAGAGGGGCCCCATCCGCGCTGCGCCAGGGTTGGAGGATCTGGAGGGAAAAGCCAGCGGCGACTCACTCTATGCCAGGCAGCAGCGCCCTCCTCACCCCCACCATTTACCCTCAGCAGTACCGCGGTTTATTCATTCATTCATTCATTCATTCACTCATCCCCAGCATCTCGGAGGCCGCAGCCAGGCGCATGCGCGCGCCCCAGCCGAGCCGGCGGTTCTCGGCGGCGGCCGCCGGGCACCG